CTGGGGACCTGGGGACCGCTGAGAGTCCTTCACGATAACTTGGGATGACCTGCTGGTACCATCTAGTTGTTCGTCATCAGCACCATGAGGAGGTAGTTGGGGCTCTGCAGCGCCTTGTAGTGGCCTTCTGCGGTTAGGGGGCGGGGCTCCATCAAGAGCAAGCGCCTGAGACAAACGATCATGTGCACTGGTCGCGGCAACCAGCGGGGTGGTAAAGGGATCGTTATGGTTTTCTTTATCCTCCTCGGTCGAAGGATTTGGGTCTTGAGACCGACACATCCGTTGGGAAAACTCATCCTCCTGTTCTGTCTCTTCTTCGCTGGTTGCGCCTGCAGCAACGTTTTCTTGGTGTTCAAGTCTGGGCGTAGTAGATCTAACTGCATCTGCCCGGTCTCGCGGGTCTGACTGTCTGCTAGGTGACTTGCTCAGTTTATCTGAGTTCTTGCGACTTGCTGGTCTTGGGGGAGCTGAAAGACTGGTCAATTGTCCCCTGGTTTCCTCATCGATATTTCTCTGTCGCCTTATGCGCTCCACGAAGCTGGGTTCTTTGTCAAATTCGCCGTCACTTTGATCTTCCGAGTATATATGGTCTGCAGAGCGCGTCATTCTCTCCCGTGAAATTATATCCCTCAGCGCTTGTGATTCTTGCATGGTGATATAATTGAGATATGGCTCTGAGGAATCCCGGGGAAAGGTTGCCGCAACGTTATTTAGCGGCGAGGACAGGGCTGTGGCAAGCGAACGGTTTTGAATAGGCAGATTAGGTGAAGGCCGGTCAGACATGGGATCCAATTGTTGGCCATGGACGAGGGGAGAGGAAGGGGCCTGGGTTGCTTTGAACACCTGGCTTAGTGCCATGATACCGCCGCTTGATCCAAGCTCCGTCGCAAGAGGGTTCCTCGACGCTGTGGGGGTCACCGTATCAAGGCCATCGACATGCCCTGTTTTCACTGCTGTCGCCGGAGTCTTTGACACAAAACGCTGGGACTCGGGAAAGAGATTCGGCTGATACTGCATGGGAGATGACTCCCCGAGTTTGCAGCTGCTCTGATCCTCGTTATCATCACCATTGGTTACATCGGTGTTTGACCCGTCAAAACCAGCCAGCAGATCCACATGACCAATATCACCTTCGTGCAGCGTCCTCAAAGTTGCATTATCGGCAAGATTATTGTCCGACCCAGTATCGGCAGCTTCCTGGTTCTGTCTTATAAGGTTGTCATAAACCGACTGCGAGATGACTTGGGTGTCGGAAGGCACCGTGTCTGCAGAGCTCATCTTCTTAAAGGGGTGCAACCCAGTGACAGGGTCTTGTCTTCTTTGTTCAAGGGACAATCGAGCAGCGTTTGTCAAGCTTTGAGCACTCTGTTCCTGCGAGGGCGACTCGGGATGACTCGACGGGGATTTCCGAGAGACCTCCTGGCCAGTAGACGATTGACGACCATTAGAGACCTGAGAGGAATGCTCGTGGATGACGTTGTTCTGGGGAATATTCTTGACAAGCTCGGACCCGGGTATTATCGACTGGGATTGTGCAGGCTCCTAAGCAAATGATTGGTGTTAGAGCAATCGAGATCACAGCGCCACCAGTGTGACCACTCACTCGTCCCAACGCGACGCGTTGCAACTGTGGGATATCGATACTGTCATCCTGGGTCTCCATGATCCCTTCAACCGGTAAATTATTAGACACGATATTGGCGGTGATTCATCGTCCGAAAACTCCAATTGCGACCATCGCCTTCACATGCCAAAGTAATACTAAGAACAAGATGTTCTCGACCTCCAGAACCAAAGGAGCGCGAAACGCGTCGTTCACGTGACTAAGTAATATTACCGTTATCGGACTAGTTCGACTTTCACTCAGCGGATGTTTATTGGTTTTACTCTTGATGTACATGGCGGATACCGGTGTAAATTGATTTACAGAAGGTTACATAGCCGCTAGTCAGTTCCTCCGGTTACCGTTCGGACGAAGGAAGCTGGTCATTCTCAGATAGAACCGAAGAAGATAGATGAGTTGTATAATACATGGAGACAAAACGAGGATACCTCACTAGTCCCGAGTCCGGTTTGGCACCCATCGCCTGATCAACATCTCTCGTACCGTATACCGAGCAAGAAGAGCGCCGATATCCTCTGAAGAGACATTGGTTTCTCCGGACATGGGTGGTGGTACTTCCACGTAGCAGACCACCAGGCTCTTTTTCACCTGGGCTTGCACTCGGTTAACACAATGGAGCCACCACCAGCTGCGCGCCTGTTTCCTAGCACAATGAGCCTTCCTCTCCTCATTCTCAGACCAGTAAGGGTGCTCAAATGATGGTATGACCACAACTGCAAACTCTGCATGCGAGAAAACAGGCCCGCGATTGTAGAGGAGGTAGTCCACGCCGAATTTCACTCCGGAGCGCACAACCCATCCAAGGGACCGAAAGTGGTGATACACAATGTAGGATATCATGAAAGGGTCGTCCGGTTCTAAATTGGCTGAAAGATCACGAGGAGGGCAGTAAGAATGCTGACAGAACCGAGACAGTAGAGAGGGAGGAGATAGAGCGGCATTTCGTTTGCCATCGACGATCTGTAGAGCGCCAAGCCCATATACCAGAAAGAAAGCCTCCTCGTTAGACAATTGAAGGTGTTCTTCATTGTTCAGTGAAGGCTCATCCTCAATTCCGTGTTCGTCAATGGTCGAATCGGGCGCACGCACGACACTCGAATCAGAAACAAACTCCTTTGCTTGAACGACCGGAGAGAACCGCACAGCCTTACTCCCGTTGGAGGGAGAGCTATCAGGGGCGTCGGGTGTATCGGTTCTCTCCGTTTGTGCTACCGAGCGTTGTGACTCAGACAATTTGGCCTCCCTAGCCTTCCTCAGGGAAAACTTCTCTGTAGCAGGTTTACCATTAGTGACACCATCTGCGGATGGTGGCAGAGCCGACTGATCAATCGATGTGTCGCCGGCTTCCCTTGCGGCAGCTTCCGCCATAAGTCTCTGTTCGATGGCCAGCTTCTCCATCCTTGCCCTCTCTAGTTTCAACTCACGACGCTCGGTTCTCCGCTGGCGTGTAACCTCTTCACTGGTAACGCCACCGAGTAATCCTCTCCTCTTCTTCTCCCGTTCCAACCAGCTAGGCTCACTTCGACTCAGACTTCCTTTGCCAAAGAAGCCCATCTCCCACAACGCTCGGATGGCTTTGGCATCTGTAACATGAACGGATGATGTCTCGGAGTCAAAGTAAGCCGAGTAGACTTCATGGTGCGGGGGAGCAATCAAGTATGTTAAATACGAGAGCAGCACGCTGACAATGGACAGAGGGTTATGTGGTATTAGAGGAGGCAGAGGATGCACATTGACGGGAAGAGGGAAACGATGAATTTGTCTGTAGTTGGGCCTAGAGAGCCGGCCAGGACGACCTTGAGGGGCATTTTTGTTTGTGGGCTCGGACTTCGCAGAGGCAGCTGCAGCCTCGGACGCAGACATTGGATTGGATTGAGAAGCCATAACTAATGTAATAGAAAAGATAGTTGTATTGATAGTATACTACATAAGGGAAGAGTCAGCATGGAACTCTTCTTTACGAGACGATGCAAAAGATTCGACATAGGTTGTTCTCCTCAGATACCGTTGTAGTCAATTAAACCACTTCATCGACAACAGCGAAGAAATCAAAGTGCCATTGCCTAGGTTTAGGTATATTGGTGTCATCACCGGAGATCAACTGCAAGTCTTTCTTCTGACTGAAGCTGCATTTGCTTACCAGAAAAAAAAGATTTTTCTGGGTGCTCCCAGCCCTGTGACGAGGTCACGGACAGGCTGTAACCAAGAGCCGTGAGTAACTAAATACAATTGACAAGTAGCAAGAGATATCCAAACATCGTCATATTGCGACGTCACGATGGATGCTCATCATCATCCCAATTCTCTTGTTTTTGCCCTAAGGTCAAAATCTGGTGGTTTACAAGAGAGAAAAGAAAAAGTTCCGATTGGGAACCGCCTAATAAAGACCATAATGACTAAGCACATTGAGTGGCCCGTGCGCATCACGGTCCGGCGAAAAAAATTGGGTTTTGATGATTGCGGGAGGACTTCACGGACAGTGACTTTCTTTCCAGAACCTGTACTTTCTCACCAATAACCGACAAAAACAACTCTAGCAAAGTAAGTTAAAACTTTGCAAACTTCGATTGGCATGAACATCACTGACCACCGTTTCACTAGGATGCATCTTATGGTACGTTCCCACAAATGCGATACCCTTACACCACCCGGCGATAGATGACCATTGGAGTTCGGGCACGTCCACTAATACGATCTTCAATAGTACACTCTGGACGCTGAGGGAAAGCGGGTGTATACCCTCAAGAAAGTCACCCCTGAGGGAAAGGTCACCAAGAGCGCTCACCCTGCTCGGTAAGGCTTCATTCGATTGATATTGAGGATACAGTGGTTAATAATGGAAAAGCTTCTCGCCCGATGACAAGTACTCTCGTCACCGTGTGACTTTGAAGAGAAGATATGGTCTCCTCCTGACCCAGCAGAAGGGTATGAAACCCGCTCGCTCCCAAGGGTCAGCTTTGATCAACGGCTAACTTCTATTGTCAGATTTGCAAACCTCTGAGCTGTAGAGTGCGAAATCATGGGATAAACCAGGTTGTTTCATAGGTGCTGTTTGGAAATCATGTTCTTTTGGCGAATGGTGTTACGTGCGGACATCTAAATGAGAAGTTTTCGGGGGGCCTCTTTACTGCCTACCACTTGCATGAGGGATTCCAAAAAGTGTTGCTCATATTCGGTCATAATAGTCCGGCCTCTCGTATAGAGAAGATCCACTTTTATCTATACCCTTATATATGCCCTATGTGCTCTATGAACCGTCACGAATCGGTTATCATCATAACCCATGCAGCGTAGGAAAAGACCAGTAATCGTAGAACTTTTGTTTTTTTGCCAAACTCCAATCCAATATCCATGCAAAAAGGACTGCGGGAGATAATTACCGCTTCCTCGAATTCACACTCTTACCAGCGCCAACTTTGATCCGACCACCGTGCTTGTTTCTCTCTCCGGTCAGAATTCCAGGGAGGTAGTCCTCATCCATAAGATCCCGTTCCTTCCGAAGTCTTCGGCTTTCCTCAGCGGTAGCTCTGACATATTCTTTTTGGTCTTCTGCGAGGATAAGATCGGTTCCCCAGCCGCCTTTACCACCGCCTCCTTTCCACTTTCCACTAGAGCTTCCGTGGGTGGGCTTGGGAATACTGAAAACGTTTCCTCGGTTGTTCCATTGCATGTTTTTCTTCAGGTGCATCTTGAACTGCCCATTGGCATCGGTAGTGCAAGAGACACGAGTGAGGGTGTCTTTTCCGCACCGTGGGCAAAATTGCTTGTTCATGTCCTTGGTCGTGAAGAAACAAGCGTGACAGCGTTTAATGAAGGACTTAAGATGGCGAATTCTTTGTAAGGTTGTGGTCGAAAGTAGGTTCAAATTCATCTGGAGTAACACGTTTTGGCACTGAATTATAGTCAGCCACGATGTATAGGTGATATACATGGGAAACAGGATTCGCTTACCGCAAAATCAGTCGTCATCGTCGCAACTTGCATAACCTTGGGCTCCGGTGTCGCCGACGCAGAGATACCCTCGTCGCGGGCTTGTTTCTTCTTCAGATTTGAAGGGGTGATCCATTCTCCGCCGTCCGAGTCAGCGGCTTCGTCGTCCTCTTCTTGGGGCTCTTGCGGGGTTGATTGTTCGGCTGGCTTGGTTTCTTCAGCAGCGGTGGCTTCATCCTGTGACTTCTCATTCGGTTTCTCTAGAGCTGTGTTCTCCAGATCCTCCGCAATTGCATCGACTTCAGGACTTTCGGTCTTCTCCTCAGTCTGGCCAGACTCATCCGCCGTCTCGGGCTGTTTTACTTCCTCCTTAACGGGTGGCTTGCCATTCACCTGTTTCTGCCCTGGAACACTGCGCAGCCGCCAATCGCCACCGTTCCTTTCACACTCTATCTCATATGCAAGTGCCAGAACCTCAATATCGGTTCTACTCAAAACGGCCCTATCGCCAGTCTTCTTGGCGAATTCGCTCAATACACTGATACTTTTCGGGGTCGGAGTCCGTTGTTTTAAGAAAGGCAGGTACATAGTCTCAACTCTGAGTCGGGCATCGGGATCGCGAATTTCACTGACCACCGATGGGGTGATGAGCAGTTCCTCGCATTGTGCGAGAAGGGTGGATAACGGCGGGGTATTCTTCAGGATAGGGCCAGCATCGAGGACGATGGTGTGGACGGACTTGGGCGGCGACGTCGTATCCGCCATTTTGGTGATCTGATATACTAATCTTCCAGCGACGGAGAGAATAGCACGTGCGAATGAGATCTGGAGGACGTTGTGGTCAGTTGGTCTCAAACGGTGCCGCCAAAGTGGGTGAATTGGTTTGATTTCGCTGGAATTTTAGCTGGTCTGTGCGCTATCCTTATCTTAGCGCGGGTTTATCAACGGCCGACATCATTGGATCCACCAATTACAGTACAGTACGGTACCAAACAACAACAGGACTTGGTACTACTAGTAGTAGTAGTACTGCGCAGTATGAAATTTACCAAAACAATGATCCCGTACAGCTCACTGGACTACGAAGTACATGCATATCTGCTGTCCCCAGATACAGACAAAAAGGTTTCAAAAGAATTACAAATAACGAAAACTAGAGAAAGATGAACTCGTACAAATCTCTGCAGAAACATCCTCCTTCGGAGATAATGCATCATGCAAGTTTGAGACATGGATCATTTGTCACTGTACTGCCATAACTTGACATGTCACGGGGGACGCAGTCACGACTTCACGATGCGCACAACAAAAGAAAGCCCATTGCGTGAAAGCAACCTCAGGAGACTAATACTACTACTCGGTCTGGTACAGGCTCCGAGTAGCTAAACTCAGATCCAAATCTATCGGCGCAACCGTTAAGGCTCGCCTTAAGATCACCAGTTATATGAGGTAGCGTGAACCTGATGGGAGGTGATCGGCCGTCAACAAAGAAAAAGTACGAGGGGGATCTTTGTTCTGGCTGACCCTTGATCTGGACCGTTCGGTGGATCGATCGGATCATGGCTGAGCTGGTTGTTAGGTAAAATCCAGTCCATGGCTCGACGAGTATTCATGCAAACATGCAATCGATCCGTGATGACGGGGAAAAATTGACAGGTAGAAAAGAATCTCTATCCGGTTTAGATAAAGTTGCCATTGTGTATCCCCAGGACTCAAGAGGAGTTATAGATCCAACCTCGGAATGTAACTATGTATGTACGAAAGATGGCAAACACTAACTAACGTACTCGGGTCACCGGTTCGACTAGGGTTCAACTGATATGGAGGGAGGCGTTGATCCTCGTAATTGGCGTCGACTATATGTAACCTTCTCTATAGCGCGCCAGTAACAAACAATCTAGATAATGCCTCAATCTGCATGCGGAAAAGAAACTTTTTTTTAAAAAATAAAAAAAAAATTAAAAATTAAATAAATAAAAATAAAAAGAACAAAAAACTAGGCAGGACGTAGCGAGTCCAGCCGACAGGGCAACGAAAGGTTTTTTTTCTTTTTTTTTCCCCCACCTCCCTTCTCTCTCTTTCTCTTGGGAAGCAATCAACCACGTTCTCGTCCAGTGAATTGGGTATAGAAGGCTTGGCCCATCAAGTAGAGTCGGATCATGCCATACAATACATCCAGGTAATGGAATCATGAAATACAATCGCTTGCCTCGTTATTGGTAGAATTTCAGGACGAAACAGGGCCTACATCAAATCAGACCAGCACAGAACTGCTCCCCTTGGCCCTCCTGTACTGCAACAGAAGTATGTAGATACATATCTGCAATCCGGATGCCGAATGATCTAAAGGAGACAAAAGTCAATTAAAAAGCCATTTGAGGCTCTGACGATCCAGATATATGGCCTACGGGATAAGCAATCAATAGAATCCATACATTCTGCTTCGATGCAGTAAAAATCCCACAGAACGATACTGGGAGGTGACCATGAGCCGAACGGCGGAAGTGTCTCTCAATCCTTCGGCAACTGATGGTACGCATTGGAAGATCGTGCCCTTCGGTAAGTAGAGCGTAATCCGAATTGCCAGGAGGCAATACATACCGTATGGCAAGCCGTGCCTCCTGAGCTTCCATCAACCCTTTCTTCAGCATATATTGGCGTGGCTCGTGGATACCCTATGTCACCACACTTGCATGGGTTCCTACCTATGGTAGAGAAAATAGGAGAGAGGAGAGGACAAGAAAAGAAATTACCAAGGACCAACTGATAAGAAGGTCTCCAAAGTCAGGCCACAGGTGGTACTGCATCCTGCCTACTTGGTCGTACATGAATATACATCCATGTCGCTGCGCTACTAGTGCCATTGGTCATGCATGGCCTACGAAGGTACGTGGTACTTTCCGTAGCACGGAAGAAAGAATATCCCAAACAGAATAAGGAAGATAGTCATATGCAATTCGACAGCATTGAAGAAGAGTGAGCCTCCTGAAGGGTTGGAATATGTCATAAATGGGTGGTGGGTGCTATGATGCTCATGGTGAACGCGACTGGATTGGTGTTCAGGGAACCTGAAGGAGGGACGCGACACAAAAAGGAAGAGAAGAATACGATTATGTCAACGTGCAGATTCTTCAGTGGCCTGGCTAAGAATTGCTTGGTTTGACTTAGATTAATGATCCAATAATTATTAAGGGAAAAAAAAGATTAATTACAATATCACCTGCAATTGACCAGTGGATATATAAATAGCTAATCCAGGCAACCGGATGCCTCTTACAGTCTCGCACAGACTCCTGCAGATGGAATTATGTGACATATTAACTCCACTGGATTACCCAATTTCTTTATATTTCATACGACTAGGATGTGCCAAGGACCTACATGGGATTTTGTGGCTTTGTCGGTACTGTCAAGCCAATCCATATCCATTAGGGCAAACATCCCACATGTGCTACTAGAAATGGAATAATGAGAGGTACGTAATAGTATCCCAGCCATCGATGGCGCTGCTAATGGTTGTAATTGGCTGTTACTTCACTGGGAACTGTCAAAATCTCTAGTGCAGTTTTAAGCATACTAGTAATAGTCCATTATTCTCGGTGCCACGAGTAAAACCACGCTGAGGTTCTAATAAAGCAAATCTAGATCGTCAATGTCAACGTACCTCGACGTTAAGTTCAACGAGCCCAACGCTTACCTTGAAAGAGAAGAGGAGCCTCGCTTGAAGCCTCCAATCATAGGGGTCTCCAAGCGCAGTAGAGTTGACGCTATCAATTTTTGGACCTGAACTGTTGTGCCCGAAGTTGCAAGCCAAGTCTTTAGGGACGATAGTACGCAACCACGTCCATGAAAGCGAGAGATGAAAGACAGCAAACCCTACACTCGATAATTGAGAATAATTCTCATTATGAAACGATATTATTGTGAAAACTCTTCGTTTTAGTATTGTGGTGTGGGGAGAATTTGTGAGGTATCAACTCCATTGACGCACACTCCACACCCACGGGCCACCACCGTCCCCATCGTACCAACGACACGATAATCGCATGGCGACTAATTCTGACTATCCGTGCATCTGCATATGGAAGTTAAGATCCAGCTGTACGGTACTTTACACCCCCCTGCATGTGCGTTATTCAATGTGGCGATGTCACTCGCGGAAACCCGTTCCTTTCAGAAGCTACTTTAAAAGGGAATTTGACTTATCGTATTCTCCCGAACTGACCTGGCTGAGTTCCTTTCAGATGTTGTCTTTCTCACCGGGGCTTCTCAAAAAGATAAAAGTATAATAAGAACCGTAAAGCTCTCCTGGGTCCAGGGGGGAGCAGGAAAGGTTTACATGCATCCCTTGCTCGAAGACCCTACCAAGTATAGCCTCACCCTGACTGGATACTCCCTTTTCAGGGAGAGAGGGACAATGATGTCAGGAAAGGTCCTATCTCAATTAGAGCGTGTGAAGCTTAGTGAGAACTAGCCAGAAAAGAAAAGAGTAAGATTAAAAAGAAACAGAAAAAAAAACCCCCACACTGCAGTCTGCTTAATGCTTGGGGTCGGGAGGAGATTATCCCTGACAGTTCCAGATGCAGCCCCCTAGGGCATGGATCCTGTTCGTCGCCACGATCGTGTTACCTTCAGACCTGAGCGGAGCTCGCTGTATACATCACGATAGAAACTGTCATACATACACCTGTGACTGCTTTTTTGTTGGTGCGTAGGTTAGGCTCGAGTACAAAGTCCCTCTTTCTGTGCAAATCATGACTGTCACTGCATACGCACAGCGTTGAATGTTTCTGGAAGGTTTGGATACGTCGCTGATCCATTCCCCACGTCCTTTATGACTGGACCGGGTTATTTCCAGGGCTAGTTGCTCCTGTCACTGTCGATCAGTTGAACCCATAATCGGGTCGAGTCCAAAGGGCTGGAACTCGCCGCTGTCCTTATGCCGCAGGGGCCCTCCTTAGCTCCATAACCCAGGTCAAGGCTTCAAGCCATGAAAAGCAGAAAAAGAAAAAAAAAAAAGAAAAGAGAAGAAAAGAAAAAGAAAAAGAAAACTCTATCTATCGACGTGCTAATGTCAAAGGCTACGACAGTAACTTCTTCCTAATGATTAGCTTATTCGATCTCTCCCTTACTTACTTTTCTATCTCCCCTTTGTCCTCATGAGACTTTAGCCCTAGTCCCTGTCATTGCCTTAGCGTCAGACCCGCAAATCTGGAGAAGCAAATGAGACAAGGAGGATCTCCATGGACAAGATGCTTTATCTGGGACCATCCCTCATGAATCCTGACCGTTTCTGGGTTTTGCGTGACGTTTATATTTCGACCCATTCCTCAGCTAGCTGCCCTTGGGCTGTTCCCTCTTGAATGTACCACTGAGTGCTACGGCGTACATGTGGGCCATTGCGGCCTGTGCTATGGTTGAGTGACTTCGGTTGTCACACGAACTACTAACCTTCGAGATATATATTGAGATTCTAATCCTGACGGGGCTTTTATTTATTTTTTCCCCTGCAGAGGCAAAGCTGTAGGGTTTTATATTTTGTGGGTTGCTGCAATGAGTACTAGTATTCAACACATCATGCACCCGCGGGGTGACGATCAGTCATATCTTTCCTCTGGAGGCAAGAGTGGAATGGCAATCAGCATTGCATTCACCAGCCTAGCGACCATCTTCGTTTTTGCCCGAGTCTACACGCGTGCTGGCATAATGAAGCGCATGGAGTCAAACGATTATATGGTCATGCTCGCTCTGGTAAGTTATCACTGGCTAACACACACACACACACACACACAGAGTTCATCAGCACTAACGTGGCGGTCCAGACATTCTCCTATGTTTTCATGGCCTTTTATATCATAGAAGCATTGAACGGAATGGGTATGCATGGCGCTGATATCCCACCATCCATCCTCCTTAAGCAGATGAAAGTGAGTATAGAAATAATTGCAGCTTCCAGCAGCTGCAGTACACCAAGACTGACATGACTTACCTCTGTCCAGGCATTCTGGATTACTATTCCCTTCTACAATGCCGCACTGCTATGCGCCAAAGCCTCGATACTTCTGCAGTACTTCCGCGTCTTCCCTACTCGACGCATGCGTCTCATCACCTGGGTCATGTTAGCCATACTCGGCGTCTACGGATCCTGGGCAGTTCTGAGTGGCTTTCTCAATTGCATCCCCGTGGCCAAATTCTGGGACAAGACACTTGAAGGGTACTGCTTGGATGACAAAGGGCTGTGGTTCTCGAATGCCTCGATGCATATCACCACCGACCTTGTTATTCTGATCATCCCGATCCCGGCTTTAGTGAAACTAGATCTCCCCAAGAGACAGAAGATTGCATTGATCACCGTTTTTGCACTAGGCGGATTGTAAGCCCAGCTATCTTCCACCTTATCGGCAATTTATATCTAACCGCTGTCTTAGCGTATGCATCACCAGTATCTGTCGTCTGGTCGCCCTTAAAAAGATCTCCGATTCCACAGATCCAACCTGTACGTCTCCCTCCCACTGACCGGATACATGCAACCCAAAAAAAAAAGGGCATAAAGTTTCTAACGAAAAATACCAGTTGACAACGTCGGCGCCGCCTCCTGGTCCGCCATCGAATGCAACGTAGGAATCATCTGCGCCTGCCTCCCCACCCTGCGACCTCTCGTATCCCGCATCGTGCCCCATCTCTTATCGACCCTAAGCAGCCGGAACCAAAGCTACAGACGGAGCTACGGTCCCAGGCGATTCTCGCACGGACGACCCCCGACATACTGGGGCGGTGGAGCAGGGACAGGAACCGTCTCGACCACCATCACGGCGATGGATGATCTCGAGTTCGGGAGCCACTGCGCCGACTCAGAGAGGGCTCTGACACATGTCCCTCCGACAGACATTCACTGCAAGGAGAAGTTCGTGCTGAAGGAAACGAAGAGTATGGAAGATGATCCTGAAAGGGTGCAGACCGCGGTAGGATCGGCGATTTCACGATGATGGGGCTTTCGTGGAGGAGCCTGGCGAGATTGTGGGACTTGTTCTCAACGCGAGAAGGAGGCATTTTATAGAGATATCCCATTCGTTTGTGCGGTTTTTTTTTCTTCTCTCGCAGGCGTTTTGAAATCGCTTGCTCTTTTTATACTCTATTGAGTCTATTCTTGGCCGTGTGTTGCTCTATATCGTTCTTTTTGTATATATATACAACTTTACCAAATCACTAATAGATTACGGAGCAACATATAAAATATGTCTTGAATGCACGATGACTTGCGCAGAGAGTTATTCGATGTGAGTAAAACAAAAAAAAGTACATGAGTATCCGGAGACAATTGAATTGGAAACTGAACAACTCTATCAAATGTATATATAGATCTAGATATTACAGATCCCACGTCGATATTCCAGATGGTGCATAAATATCCATGGAAACTTTCCCTAAGTTTCCCATAAGAGAGCATCAGAAATCAGCGAATTCCTTGTCCACCTCCTCGAAATAGTCGAAGAAGCCCTTGAACAGCTTCACGCCCAGTCCCGGATCCAAGCTACCGGTAGTCGCACGGATACTGTGCATACTCAGTTGCGGGATCCCTACATCAATGGCCCTCATGCCAATACGAGAACTGGTCATGGGTCCAATAGTCCCGCCACTACGGGAGTCATTACGGATCTGGAAGACTTGCAAAGTCGAGCCACAACGATCAGCCACACGCTTGATGAATCCGTAGCTCACACTGTCTGTTGTCATATGACCGTTAGAGTCAGCCGAAACGGCCACACCGACGTTCAGGCGGGGAGCATGGTTCTCAAGGTAGACATTAAGGAAGTTTGGGTTGACTGCATGGATGACGTCCGAAGAAACGAAGAAGCTGTTCGCCACAGTCTGAGACAGCACATTGGGGCCGTAGTTTGGTGAAAAGGCTTCCGTGATACGCTCTATGACGCTGCTCATGAAGTTGGATCGAGCTCCCTGGCGAAGCAGGCTTCCAATTTCCTCGTCGTCAAACATACCGACCATCTTGATAGAGCTAGTTGAAGTACTATCCGGTGAGGCAAGTAGAGCCTCCTGAGCGGCATAGCAGCAGAGCTTATCGTCAATGCGACCAGCAAAAATCAGGTCCCTGTCCAGGCCACCAACCTGTGCTGGTTGACTGTCATACAGCTCCAGCTCCCAGCTGATAATCGAGCTGTAGTCTGTGATACCAAGCTCCTTGGATATGACTTTAACAAGCTTCTCGGGCTGCGTGGCTGCAAATGTACCGGGCTTGATCCCGCTATCGCGGTCCGTCTTGGACGGGGCTTGCTGCTGGAAAAGATCGGAGTTATCAACGCCAATGATAGGCACCATCTGTGTCTCTTTGTTGAAGGGGCCTTGCGAGGGTGCTCCGAAGTGAGGTGCCAGGGTTGGGATCCGGGCGATAGGCCAGTCTAGCTTGACTAATTTGGACTCGACTTTCCCGGTGTTGGAGTCCTGGACCAGGACACGGCCACCAATTGAGAGATCGCGATCCCACCATGTCTCACTCAGAGCGCCTGCGTAGGGCGCGACTCCAAGTTGGAGAAAGCCAGCCTTATTGGGCAGCTTGGATACGGGCTTCAATTTGGCGGTGAGTGCATCGATATGACCTGCAACAATGGCTATTCCATTGCCACTCTTATAGTCTCTTCCAATTGAGAATGAGATGAAAGCACTGCCATTTCGAGTGACATAGTACTTCCCACCCTTCTCTAACTTGGAGTTCCACGTCTCGCGCTCGGGAAGTCGCTTATATCCCTGGCTTTCGAGTTGCCTGGTAAAGCCGTCCACCGCATGAAAGATCGTAGGGTTTGCTGTCATGAATTCGCAATATGGTTTCGTGTAATCTTCCGGGGCGAGAGAGCCAGTCCTCGCCACTGGGCTCGCAATGGTAGCTGGGGTGGGCTCCGGAAGCTGGGCCGACAGGCGATAAGCCATGGCAGAATCACGGAGATCAAGGACACTCCTCTTGGTCATGTCGAAGGCTAGGAGTTGAAATTTCTTTAGTTTAACTGCTAGATATCTCGTCGGAATATGGTCTAAGCGAATTGGTAGCAAGGGAAAGGAGGAATCAAGGGGTATGGGAGAGAGTTCTGAAGAGGGGAGAAGGAGGAGAGAGCAGCTGAGCTGGAGCTGAATGGCGGTCACGCCTTATCGGGGACGCTGATAAACGATCCATCACTTCCTCGGTTTCAATTCAGGAACCGACCAAACCTCAGGCACCCCGATCCGCCAAGACGGCAGTTCGACGTCACACGCTCAATAAATGATGCAATTGGATGAATGTGTTCTTTCAAGGCAACAACTACTAGTACTGGTACCGAGCATTTAGTACATTGGAAATCTTTTGAGATCATGGGGAATTCAAGGCACACAGTATCAAACAGCGAGCCTTGAAAAAGCCAACGCCGAGAAACGAACCTGGTGTATCCAGCCTGCGGCGGTTGAATCAACCCTAATCATCACTTTAACTGCTCGAACCAACATACGCATTCCAGTCTACAACACCACCCGCACATTGCTCAGTAATCGCTGGGCCCGTGGTTGTCACGACCTCCCGATTACCTCGCATAATAGAGATCCTGACAGGCCCTGTCTGCCCTTTAAAGGGGAAAGATCCGTGATTGACACCAGGGACGGCGTCAAGAACAGAATGTGGACCTGATCCAATTTGGACATGGACCTCGCTCGGCTCAGTGACAAATACACTAACGAACACTTTGTCCTGAGAGAGCTCATGCGGTTTCATTTCTGGTTGACCTATGCCTGGGTTGTTCCCGGTTGTGCCGTCGGCGCTACCCGACTGCCCCGGGTTCAATCGATACCAATAGACAATCTTGTCCGCATAAGATATGGGGTACTTCTGGTGGGGGGAAGTTCTGACTGGGTTACTGTGGCAGTTCGCGATGTTCCGTCTATACCCGTCAATATAATGTGGCAGAAAGGTTCGCCATGCATCATGAGGGTGATCAGCGATGTACCGCGAGGCCCCTTCAGGCACTCCAGCCTCGTAGATGGGCCCGATGTAATGCGTCTCGCCATAGTCGTTCCAACTCAAGACCTGATAAATATAAGTCTATGGAAATCGCAGACATTAAATAAAGGTGACCATACCTGGACAAGAGGCGGTTGCAGCTCAATGACCTGTTTCCAACGATAGTGCCATAGATCATCTCCGCGCCAGAGCCAATTCTTTCCCCATTGGGGGAGATTCGTGTAGAACCATGGAGCTACGGGCATCATGTATGGCTTCCCTGAAAGAGCTTTCATCCACTCCAGATCGTTTGTCACCTTCATGTCTTCTGTACCAACCGGCCAAGCATCCCAGCTAAAGGCACCGTCGATATCATTCAGAACATTGCGTATACCAGCTGGTCCCATGCTCGTCCAGCAGGGGATGAATAAACAACCCGTAGCGGACTTGATATTCGGCCAGTCACCTGCGTTGCCCACACCTTCAAATGTGGATACCAGTGGCTTCCCTTTGTAGTAGAACTGCGCCTTTCGATTCTTATAAGAATTGATGATGGTGATAACTCGATCCGCCGGCCAAGGCCCACCGGACAAGTAGTCAAACGAGATAAACAGGGAAAAGTTTCCAATCTTTTCAGCAGCATCGTATGCTGCTTGGAGGGCTCGATCGGTGTGATGGTCTTGCGGTGCAACGTTCAATGCAAATCCATCAATGTGAGCTTTCTGCGCCTCTACAATGTCCGACTCCCACTGATCTGACGTCATATAATACGCATTGCCAATCTAGTATCCATCAGCATAGCACGACGCCCGTTTGTGAGGACTGGGCTTTTTCCTTACGATGAAGTGTGCGAAAACATTATGCGAGTCAGGCGGTGTGGGGACGGTCTGTGGTGGAGGTTGAGCAACAACGGGGGGCACTGCTAGTGAAAAGACGATGTATGGTGAGCCTCTTAGCCTTGATGTGAAACGAAACAAGGTCTAGTTTATGTTGAGATTTCCAGAAAATTTCAAATATTAACATCTGAGAAACACAAGTATTATATGCACAGCCGGGCCTTTGAGTGATGCGTGTAGTAGGAAAGACACGATTGGAAATAAAAGCATGAATATGGTACATCAAATCAAAAAGCTATAGCTTCGAGGATGCTGTAGTGTAGAATAGCATAGGAGTGCCCTATGGGCCGAGTATAGGAGAGGTTAAATTGAACTGGCCTCTCTTCTTGGAAATGATAGAAATGCAAGTGGAGATTCACCGACCTTGTGCCATTGGGGGTTGCTGGTATTGTTGGTGGTGGTGGTGATTATGATTATGGGGACGGAGTTTCTCCGGGGTATGGACATGGTCGATAATACGATCGAGATGGTGTTTCATTGTGGAACTTGACAGTGGAGCACCACGTGGCTGCGAGGAATATCGAAAGCAGAGAAAGAAATCAAAGGCAAACGCTTCAAAAATGCAGTATGCTGAACACGAATTGAAGTGGCATGCAGAAGCTTGAGATATTCCAAACGCCAGAGAGGGGCGAAGGGAATTTTAAAAAGGACGAGATCCCCCTCATCTGACCGTACAGGACCCTCTCGGCAACTGAAGAACAACATAGATATCGCCACGAAGAATGGGTAGATAGGATGTGGTCTATCAGGTAGACACACATACGGACATGCATCGGTTTAGGTCTCGACTGGACGGATTTCCTCTTTCGTCTTGTCGATCGCACCGAATTGACCAGTTGTTCGACTCACATGACCGGCGCAGTTTCTTGGGCATTGGAGAGGCATAGCTTTTTGGCAATGCCTTTCTGATCTATCACTATCTCTGTTCGACCGGGTGACTATCATGCATGAAGCCTAGCTTCCCAAGCAATATTTCTCTCACCGACAAGGCTCAGTCTTGAGTGGGTTTGCAAATGGCGTCATCAGCTTCAGGGCCAGTCCCACCACTACGCTTACGCTTGAAAAAGAAATGATGTAAAACAAAAATTGTCATAAAAATGTCCAATGCTGGAATATATCATTATTAAGCCAGTCGACTATGGTTGGGCGTTCCAAGAATTTTACCCCAGGCGACTCATAGTGATGTCAGTCCGGATGATGTACTCAAACAGTCACTCTTGAAATGTCGCCTTTTAATACACGCAAGCACCATCCGCAATTAGGACCGTAAGTTGATCAGAGAGCTCTTGAACTATTCCAATAGCTAAAAATGGCCGCATCTCAAGCCGCAAATCTCGTGGAAAAAGTGATTGGGCATAGTGATAATGCCACCGTCACAACCGATGTGAGTAACTACGACAAGGGAGCCTACGGGCAGGAAACGGGAGAGAAGATCAAGGCCACGACATGGCAGGGAAAGAACAGTGTTCAAATCGGTACGTATTGAAACCTAATCGAGAAACGGCTAGCCTAACAAGTCAGCAGTCGAGATGCCAAAACCAAGAGTTGTAGATGAAGGTGATGTGATAGTCAAGGTAACTGGTAGCACAATCTGTGGAAGTGACCTTCATCTATACCATGGTATGAATCCATTCGAGTGGCCATCGATAGACTTGCCAGCTCACCCCTCGGCTTAGGTGTCATTCCTCAATTAGAGAAGGGTGATGTTCTCGGCCATGAATTTTGTGGTGTTGTCGAAAGCGTGGGACCAACTGTGAAGAAGGTCAAGGCTGGAGATCGCGTTGTTGCAGCTTTCCCAATTGCTTGTGGAGAATGCAGAAACTGTAAGGAGCAATTGACGTCAGCCTGTGAACGGACAAATGAAAACTCCATTACGAATGCGATGTATGGCAAACGGACAGCAGGTAAATTGCTTGTATCCGGATGTCTCTCGTCAGCTGAAGCTTATCTTTGTTACCCTAGGGATGTTCGGGTATAGCCATTTTACTGGGGGCTTCGCGGGAGGCCAGGCAGAGTACGTGCGTGTGCCTTACGGCGATGTTAATCTACTGCAGCTCCCAGCGGACGTTCCAGATGAGAAAGGCCTTTACCTTTCAGATGTCCTGGCGACCGCGTATCATTGTGTGGTTGATACGGGTGTGAAGAAAGGTGATGTTGTAGCTGTTTGGGGCGGAGGCCCAATCGGCCAGATGGCTGTGGAATACAGCTTTAGCCAGGGGGCCACTCGTGTCATCCTTATCGATGGAGGAGAGGGAGCATGGAGGTTGGATTTTGTCAAGAGCAAGATACCAAAGCTTGAGACAATAGATTTCAGCAACCTACCAAGAGGAGAATCAATCACCTCCCAGTTAAAAAAGATTGTACCTGGAGGGCCAGATGTGGCACTGGAATGTGCTGCGGGAGAGTACGCTAAAGGATGGGCGCATTACTTCGAGATGCTTCTGGGAATGGAGACAGACACCTCGGAAATCCTGAATGAGATGATCACGGCTGTCCGGCCGTTTGGACGAATTGGCATAACCGGGGTCTATGCTGGCTACGTAAGCAAGACCTGCATATCTTGCAATTTTTTTTCCCTCAGGTATTGACTGATTGCTATACAGACTAACCACTTCAATATTGGTGCTCTCATGCAAACCGGTATCCGGTTCATCGGCAACGGCCAGGCTCCAGTCCAGAAATACTGGGAACACCTCTTGGAACTCATAAGGCGGCAAGAGATTAATCCATTGGACATGGTAACCCACCGTGTACCATTGGAGAATATGCCAGAATTGTACGCGGCGTTTGAGAGACGGGACAAAGGTATGCAGAAGGTTTATGTGCAGACCAAATTCTCATCACCCCCGACGGAAGGCTCGCCCCAGCTGACCGAGCTTTGAACGGATAATCTTACTATCATTTGAATTTCTACATACGAAGATTGACCTACATGCAAACTAAAAGCACAATAAGAGAGAGAGAGAGACAGGGAGAGAGAGGGGAAGTAAAAGCCAAGGATGAAAAATTTCGTGCTACAGGATTGGCATTTCAATCGGCGAGGACCGGCAGATGGCAACTCGTCTAGCCAGTGTCAAGGACAGCACAGTCAATGTACGTGGAGAACGGAGTACTTTCAGCTTTCCCACAAATAGTAATCTAGTCCGAGTGTAGAGCATGTTTCTTGGATCCGAAATACAGAGCCCTAGGTCCCTTAATGCTGGCTTTGCCTCACAAGCATATTTTATCCCATGAAGCGATTGCTCGCCTTATTCTACGTTCTCATACTCCACATTGTTGGATTACTGCAAGGGACCCAGGGGGCCCAGATGAACCGTATTGCCGTGCATAGGTTCCCTACGAAAGTCGGTCAACCAGGGGAATCTCCGTGGTAAAATACCACAGCAGTTTCAGTCCGGGTTTCGCCCGTTTGATTCCGTTGATCGGCGTCGAAACCGAGCAGGACACAAGCTCAATTGAGAAGGCAGACAAAAGGTGGTTGGGATTTGAAATCCATGATATTAGTAAAACAAAGCAAAAAATTCCCTCCCGTCCCCTCTGTAAAGCATTGGTCCCAGTCAGCTATGCTAAACAAGGTTAACAGGATTCGCCCGTTCAAGCGATCGTCGATGGACGGTTTAGCGTATTACGGCATCAGATAGCCCAATCTGGTAAAGCCGGGATCAGATAAGATCAGATGATGGAGGGATGTGAAGTGCCGAATGGAAAGCATTACCATTATAGTCGCTTCTCTACGGGAGAAAAGTGACAAATGAAAATGCACTTTTTTTTTTCAAGATATATTCTTCTTTAGTTCATAGGGAAGAGTATGACTACCTGAGATACTGATGACTTTTCTTGTAATTCGAGTTTTCTCATAGCTCTAGCTGAACCAAGAGCTAACTCAACCATACCCGAAGGTTATGAACTATGTTATGGATCTTTGATTGTAGGGAACATTCTATTGTAACACTGCCTTATTAGATTAAATCATGTAGGTTTTAGAAGAAAGAGGAGCGGAGAAACGAAAACGAAAAAGAAAAGACAAATAAAAGAAAAAAAAAAAAAGCCAAGGTTGATGGCGGCCACCGCGGGTGAGCAGATTCGACAAGAGTACGTAGGATCCACCACATCCACTTCGTGGTTTTGAAGGAAGAGAAAATTTCAAGTTCCATGGGATTGAGGATGGAGTCTGTAGGAAATTATTGAAGTCACCACTCCAGATTAGGGTTACATACATGCTATGAGACTCGGTAAGTTTCCCACAAAACGAGGAATTATTCTGGATATGTTGAGGGTGTCCAGCGCCAGAGGGGTGTGTTCTTGTGCATACCTACTACAGCATCCAGGGTACTTTCTCTCTAGGCTCACTGCAGGGCAGAAGGAAGCTTTAGTTCATGCCCTAATACGTGCAAACGCCAACGTCTCCATTGATTGATAACCAGGGAGCAAAAGTATGGGTCAACGAATAAGGAACCCAAGCGAGTAAGTGACTCCACCATTCGCCGAAATCGGGGAGACCGCACGATAATCTAATCTGATCCGATCACCTTTTTCCAGTCCTGTTTCCCCCTCTTCCTCGGCTTCCTTCTTTCCTTTCCTCTGCATTTCATATCGAGTCTATTTCGTTCATTCATACCCCCAAGAGATTCTATGCTCTGGCAATTCGCACCCAGGGGGAATTGCTTCCAGATTGCACTTCTCACAGCTCACCAATCCTTCGTCTCGCTTACTGGCTGCAAGGGCGCACTTCCGCTCTTCCGGCCGCCGCGATCAAGTGACACCACCTGTTGGTCCGTGGACATTCTTTTCCTACACTTTCCACCCTCACCCTTATCTTCTACACCCGCATCCCGGGGTCATGACCCGCTAACTTCTATCCAGAATTCCTCTTGAAAGAAAGAGGCAATCCTGAACAAAATGGCAACTCCCGCACCCTCAATAGCCCCTGCGCCCACTCCAGCTCCGTTGCTCCCGCAATTGCCGCCAAGCCAAACATTTCACCATCTCCCGGACCGGGTACACCCGGATCCGTCACCTCCAAGGAATGGGTTATACCACCACGTCCCAAGCCTGGCCGGAAGCCTGCCACGGATACGCCGCCTACTAAACGCAAGGCGCAGAATCGTGCGGCCCAAAGAGCGTTCAGGGAACGTAGAGCCGCCCGCGTCAATGAGCTCGAAGACCAAATTAAGAAAATCGAAGAGGAGCACGATATTCATGTGGCAGCGTTCAAAGAACAAATTTCAAACCTGTCTCATGAAGTCGAACAGTGCCGAAATGAAATGACATGGTGGCGCGACCGATGCCACGCTCTGGAGAAGGAAGTCTCAGTAGAAAGAAGCGCGAAGGAAGCCCTTGTTAAAGAGTTCCGGTCGTCGCTTTCGGATAAAAATGTTCCTGCTGGTAGGGCACCATTGACTCGCATGTCCGCCAAAAAATCTAGCTCTGGACGAGCTACGAATGAAAGGTCTTCGCCGAGCAACGCCAGCGGCGGTATTACCCATGATGAGCGGGAGGAAGTGCCACTGGGCTGCCCTAGTTGTTCTTCGACACATTGTCAGTGTATTGAAGATGCATTTGCAATGCCAGGCGTTGAGCCGTTGAATTCCAATCGTCTTAGCACCACTGGACAAGGGCGTGTCGAGCCTGAGATAAAGCCCGACCCGGAGGAGATGGAAATCGACTTTACCACTCGGTTTGCTGCCCCTCAACCGCAGGAAGACACTACCACGGCTGTTTCATCCCCTGCGGTTGATCCGTGCGGCTTTTGTCAGGATGGAACCCCATGTATTTGTGCGGAAATGGCCGCCCAGGAAGAGCAGCGCCGACAATCCTTCGAGAACAACCGTCTCGCACCCATTCAAAACCTGTCTCAATTCACGCCACCTCCCTCTGATGGCGACGTTCGCTCTGAAGTCACTCTGCCGTCCATTAGTCAGGCAACTAATCCCTGTGCGAATGGCCCTGGCACCTGTGCCCAATGTCTTGCGGACCCAAAGAGTACCCTTTTTTGCAAGACGCTGGCGGCCTCTCGCTCCGCCAGCGTTGCCTCCTCCGGATGTTGCGGCGGTAAAGGCGCCGATGGTGGGTGTTGCCAGTCACGCAGTTCCAACCCCCCGCGTGCTGCCGCTGCCAAATCGACATCTGGTAGATCTACGACGCCCTCACTAACACTCTCTTGTGCTGACGCATTCACGACACTGTCACGACACCCGAATTTCTCCCGTGCCAGCGATGAAATTTCTGCGTGGCTTCCTAAGCTGCATACATTACCAAATCCGAAGGAGGTTGCATCGCCCGATCGATGCTCCTCGAGGGCGGCCCTCGAGGTCGAGGCAGCGAGTGTAATGGGCGTCTTGCGCTACTTTGATCGGAGGTTTGCCGACAAATAAGCTAAAGACGTTCATGAATCCATGCCATATATTTCTTTTTAATTCTTTTTCGTTCTTTATGATACCCAAACTTGACTCGCGTCTGAGTTTGTATTATACAATATCTTTTTTTTTTGAACTCATGATGGGGCGGGCTGCATTTCAGTTTCTAATATCTTCGGCCTTCGGGCCCATGTTTCCATGGGATTTGTTCTATGTTGGCCTCTGTGACATGCACTGAGGGGGCTTGAATAAAAAAAACAGCAGCATTTCTTGCTTCACTTCGAGCTTACGTTAAAAAGGGGGGTTAGATAGATCGACATGGTATGGGATGGAACGGAATGACTACAATTCACTCCAATGATCAGATGGGTGAATGACTGGCGTTATTTGCTTGCATTCTGGGATGATTTCGGATGACTCAAAAATAAAACTCAAGACGAACATGACCCAAAAGAACAATGTGTACGGGTCGAGCCGCGGCTCAAATGAAAACAGTCGTGTTTCATTCAATAGAGAGTTTCACTGATTTGGATAATTAAGTTGGGATCATGTTAGTTAGATGGAATGGGTATTTCTGGGTGGCGATCTGGTTGGTTTGATGTATTTGTTTACCAACATACGAAGTGTATTTTCATCATAATGGGAACTCCTTTGAAACAGATGGAACGGATTCATTGCCACTGCTGTCTGAAATGAATGGCTCTGTATAGGGAGATGAGATGGCTGATGTATCATGACGCTAAAGTGGGATGAGTGATGTACATATTCCCCATGTAAACAACCGGAACAAAAGGGAAAGGAGATTCGAAGAACTGTCAGAAAGGATATCGCCGCCGTTGATATCTACAAAATAAACACAAACAGGTCCAACGCCTTCACCCCCCTTGCGCCAGCTAGGTGGACAAAAAAAATATAGGGTGTAGAGGGAGCGAGGACTTGATTAGGAGCAGGACAAGGATGAAAAAGCGAAGGGGAGTGGGTATGGTAACAAGATAAACAGGTGGGCTAACTTGAGACAACTGTGGGGGTGTCAGATACACGAATCTTCAATGCCATGCGGTTTGATCAAAAGCGGCCTCCACTGGGCATCGCTCCATCCTCCCCGACAGCACCGGGGCTTCCAAGAAAGCTGGCGCCCCAGATACCGGCAATCCCCCACATACCAATTCGCCAGCCGCGATAGAGGCCATGGATTCCCTGGCCTTGCCGTTTCCTCAGCGCAAGGGGCTTGTCGAATAAGGCCTGCGCCCTCTCAGCCTCTGGATTCGGCTGAACACCCTCCTCGTAGACAATACCCCACATCGTTCCGACAATACCCCTATATGTACGGGGTGTCGAACGATGGTCTCGATCTCTGGGGCTGCAGAAACAGCCTCTGAGGGCTTTGCAGAAGGTAGCCTACTAGTAGGTTGTTGGCGGAGGCTTGGGGACGTGAAAGTAGCGATCTGCGCGCGACGCAGCACAGTTTCCAGAGGGAACCGGACTGCCAGTTCCAAGCCGGACCCCATGAAAGTAAACAAGTTCCACATGGACGGGTTGAGGACGGGGTCAAGGGAGAGGTACGATTTCAGGAAGAGCGGGGTGGTGGTCATTATGAAGCTCGGCAAACTCGAATGGAGGATCGTGATTGGGACTAGATGAGGGGGTACCGTGCAGTTGGGAGTCGGGATTTGTCGGATGGCACGTATAAGGGAGCGGGGTCCATGAGTGACGGGCGTGAGAATGAGGAGTGTGCGTGCCGTATCAATCGGGGAGAGGATCAATGCAGACAAGGACGTAGAGATGAATGACAGGACCAAGGTAGCGATTGGAGAGGTCGACGTCAGAATGTCTGCTGTCATAGAGGACGAAATATCATCCTCTGGTAGTCCCACAATGGCTGACAGAAGACTGCGAATGAATGTGTTCAAGGTCGGGAGGAGTAGGGAGTAGATGAAGGTGGCATTGGTTGCTTTCCATGGGGATGTTGGTCCGCTGGTAGTCCACAACTGAGAAAGTACATCCATCAGGGAGCTTGGGTTTTTGATTTTCAAAGCGTTCCGGGACGATGGGGTTGAGGGCTGAATGTAACCCATTCGATCAGTGATATGGCGTCGAGATTTTCGAGATCGTGAGTTTGAGGGCGATGAGGCGGCGGGGGTTGTCGACGTGAAGTAACTGCTCTCATCATCTGAGGATAGCGCATCCTATTTGACGTATGGCAACGTTAGCCCTCAGGTAGATTGTTTCCCCCTCTAGTCCCTCTAGGGATCCACATAGAACTTACAACTCCCTCTTCTTCTTCCTCATCCTCATCCTCCTCATCATAGAGATCGCCCTGAGCACCCGAACTTTGCCTCCGATGGCCATCCATAAGCCATTGTCCATCCTGGCTGCCCGGCACGACATAGGCCTGTAAAATGGTTTTCGCGACGTCAAACGGTTGTGCGGTCAACAGACTGGTATATTTCCAAAGTGCACGGTCCAGGGCATCTTTAATCCAGCTTGATACCGAGGGGGAGTTTTCCAAATAGTCCGAGTAGTCCAAGTCGGACAGCAAGTCGCGGGCAGAGCTTCCAAAAACATGGGCCGATGACGCATCTGGAGGGGATGAAGTGGCGTTGGCGGCCTCCAGGCCCATGGAGGGGGGGAAGTAATAAGGGCGCAGAGGATTGAGCCCTTCACGAGAAGATGACATCGTTGAGAGGGGGGTATCGAGAGATGAACGTCTTCTTCTTGTGGAAAGGGGAGGGCGGATGTTCTTGTCGGAGTTGTGGAATTGTTATTAAATTAAAATTACCGTTAAGGTCCCAAAGGCGGAGAGCAAAAAAGGTCGAGCAAAAAAAGGTTAAGTTGGAAGCAGCGAATGATTATGTCCGAATTTCCCGCCTTCTCCTCGGAGTTACTCTTTTTTCTCCTCCAGATTCCAATCGATTGACTTCCAATTGAAAACGTCCCTCTCCTAGACTTTCCTTTCTATACTCCTTTGCCTCTCGGCAATCTACTCTCCTGGTGTCTACTCACTATACTTTCGGTACTATAGTTCTTTGTTATCCTCGCCGCTTTAGTGTTCTATAAACATGTCGTTCTGGAGAGAAACTTTCCTTAATTTGCGTCATGCCGTCCCGAAGACCGTCCCCGGGGATCGCGCATGTCGCGCCCAATCGAAACGGTTCCTTACTTATTCCTCACAGAGTCCTCGGGTGACTGCCTCCAATCAGTACGCATTGCACACTAAGAGACCTGGGTTGACTGTGAGTCAACGGCGGTCATGGAACGGATTGAACCCAGAATACCGAAGCTTTTCGGCCACCGCGGGAGTCCAACATGGACACATCACACCTCCGAAGCCCGGGGAGGAGTAAGTCATGGCTTATCTATGAGGCTATCCCATGGAGTATGTGCTAACCACTTGCCTCGTTGCAGACTCAACATCTCGTTCATTGATAAGGATGGCGAGAAATACGACTTCCAAGTATCCGAGGGGGACAACTTGCTGGATATTGCGCAGGCCAATGATCTTGAAATGGAAGGTTCGCATCCCCTTGGGGCAGGGCGCAATGTTTAAGGCTGTTTACTGACTATGGTTTTCCCCGCGCTAGGAGCCTGCGGCGGTTCATGTGCCTGCTCGACCTGCCATGTCATCGTGGAGGACCCGGACGTGTTTGACAAGATGGAAGAACCATCCGACGACGAGAACGACATGCTGGATTTGGCATTCGGACTGACAGAGACTTCTCGGCTAGGATGTCAGGTTATCATGAGCAAGGAGCTTGACGGACTAGTTGTCCGTCTGCCCTCTATGACCCGCAACTTGCAGGCGAGCGACTTTGAGCCAAAGAAATAAACCCCACCAGGACATTGTGCCGTGATGTGGTGGTATCTGTTGGGGGGATTCAAGGCGCGTTCAAGCAATACAATGAAGCAACATTTTAGGACGACCGAGCAAATGTCGGAGGCTACTGGTTTTAAATGTATATTGTACTATTGGGTATTCTCATCTCCATTCTATTTTGCAAGAATCTGTAAATAGGAATAACTTTTAATCCAAACGTGCAATCAAACAAATAAAAGAAAATCCCGAACGCCTAAGAGATGCCTGGTTCTTAACATATACAGAATCTCCGTTCAAGCCTCCTCGATATTCAAAGGCTTGCCCTTCTTTCCACTAATCAGCTCCAGGAATCCTTGTTTGCTGACCTCATTGACGGCTTTCTCTCGTTCGCCAATACCGATGGTACCCTTCTTCCTCTCACCCTTGGCCGCTTCTTCTCCGCGCACTTGGGCTGCACGAACCGCATTGAAAAGCTTCACCACACCACGCTGAGCGATCTTCCGAAGACGCTTCTCTTCCTCCGCGACAGCGCCAGCCTCGCCTCGTTGGATTCCCAGAACATCGCGAATCCGACCGCGATCCAATTCTTCCTGCTTCTCGGCGCGCAGTTTGGCGCGTGCTTGCTTGTCCAATTTCTCGTCGGCAAAATCGGTGCTGGCTTGCGTGGCTATTTTACTGCGTGACAGAACAGGATCCGCCCGGACAGAGGAAGGTAATTTTGTCGCCAGAATCTTAGAGATGGAGGTAGAGAACGCCGAAGGATCGTTCCGTTTGGGGACAGCTCTGTGGTCCGTAGTTGATGTCGGCATAGACGCATCCGAGTCGTAATCATCATCCTCATCCTCAGCACCAGAAGAAGCGTCTGAGCCCGAAGCATCGTGCTTTTCATCCTTCTTATCATCGCTGTCAGCCGATTCGTCGCTGTCATCTTTGTCGCTGCTCTCTTCGTCCTTTTTGTTCTTTGAAGCAATTGAGGTTTTCGTCTGTTTCGTCTGTTTCTTCGGCTTCTTTACTTCGACCTCATCCTCATCGGAATCTGCCAAACTGACAGCTTTAAAATCGGTTGGTTCGTCATCTTCCGCTTCATCGGAACTGCTGTGGTATTCGCGCTGCTTCCTGAACTTCTTTTGAGGCCGACCAGTTTTGCCCTGCAGACCTTCCAATACCTTGCGCTTCTTTGCTGTAGTTGATAGAGGCATGATAATTAAGAATGTCAAATTTCAGCGGTGGTAATTTCTTCGTGTTGATATATAAATTGTTTGGTCATTTTTTTTTTTTTACTTTTTCTTGTAAGTCTCGAATATATTCAAAGGCGGAAGGGAAAATAATGTTGTTGATTGGCTGGCTGCCCGCTCCAGACTCTCCGCACTGGAAATGATTGAGATTGGTGGCCTCTCCGACATTCTACCTATCCATCAAGCATTCCCATAATTCTTTCTAATCAGCTAACTTCCGCACTCGCTGGTCCTTGTTGATTATACTGTGATATCTACTTTTTTATCCATTAACAGATTGCCCGCCATGGTCCTTCAGGATCTCGGGCGGCGTATCAACGCCGCCGTCAATGACCTAACTAGGTCCAACAATCTAGACGAGAAGGTTGGTGGCCAATATGTGCATACAATTTTCGAGGGGATTTCGTGCAATTAACGCCTTGTAGGCTTTTGATGACATGTTGAAAGAGATCTGCGCTGCACTATTATCAGCCGACGTAAACGTTCGTCTCGTCCAGTCACTCCGGAAATCTATCAAGTCCGGTGTCAACTTCGCCTCCCTGCCCCCCGCCGTCAATAAGAAGAGGTTGATCCAGAAAGCGTCTTCGACGAATTGGTTGCTCTGGTCAATCCACATGCAGAGCCGTTCCGACCCAAGAAGGGCCGGTCTAATGTGATTATGTTCGTTGGTTTACAGGGTGCCGGTAAGACGACAACCTGTACCAAGTTAGCTAGACATTATCAGATGCGAGGCTTCAAAACGGCCCTTGTCTGTGCGGATACCTTCCGTGCCGGTGCGTTCGATCAGTTGAAACAGAATGCGACAAAGGCCAAGATCCCTTATTATGGAAGTTTGACACAGACCGACCCCGCAGTGGTGGCGGCTGAGGGTGTGGCCAAGTTCAAGAAGGAGCGGTTTGAGATTATCATCGTGGATACCAGCGGTCGTCACAAGCAGGAGGAGGAACTTTTCACGGAAATGACCCAGATTCAGACTGCTGTAACCCCGGACCAGACTATCTTGGTTCTCGACAGTACGATTGGTCAGGCGGCTGAAGCTCAGTCGGCAGCCTTCAAGGCAACGGCTGATTTTGGTGCCATCATTATCACGAAGACGGACGGCCATGCTGCTGGAGGTGGTGCTATTTCCGCGGTAGCAGCTACACATACTCCCATCATCTTCCTCGGCACGGGTGAACATATGATGGATCTTGAACGGTTCGAGCCGAAAGCTTTCATCCAGAAGCTTCTGGGCATGGGTGATATGGCAGGATTGGTCGAACACGTTCAAGCCGTGACCAAGGACTCAGCAGCAGCCAAGGAGACGTACAAGCACATCGCTGAAGGTATTTATACGGTGCGCGATTTCCGAGAGAACATTTCCTCGATCATGAAAATGGGCCCCCTGTCAAAACTTTCTGGCATGATCCCTGGCTTGTCCAACCTCACTGCTGGGCTGGATGACGAAGATGGCTCGCTTAAACTCCGTCGCATGATCTACATCTTTGATAGTATGACAACAGCGGAGCTTGACAGTGATGGAAAGGTTTTCGTGGAGCAGCCCAGCCGTATGGTGCGCATCGCTTGTGGTAGCGGCACGACCGTGCGTGAGGTCGAGGACCTGCTGTCGCAGCACCGCATGATGGCGGGTATGGCCAAGCGCGTTGGTGGGCAGAAGAAGCAGATGCAACGAGCCCAGAACATGCTCAAGGGTGGCAACAAAGAACAACAGCTCGCCGCGATGCAGAAACGCATGGCCTCCATGGGCGGCGCAGGTGGCGCAGGTTTCCCTGGCATGCCCGGTATGGGCGATATGGCCAAGATGATGCAGATGCTTCAGGGACAAGGCGGCGGTGGTGGTCTGCCAGGCCTCGGAGGTATGGATCTACAGGGAATGATGAGTCAAATGAGCGGATTGATGGGCGGAGGAGGACGCGGTAGAGGACGGTGATTCCAACGTTGCTTCTTTTTCATGTCATGTCTCTTTTCTCTCTTGTATGTTTGTTACGTGGTGATACCGCTAAATGGGTCACGATTGATCGATTATACAGCATGTGGATGGTGTTGGGCGCGTATTGTTTTCATTGCCATGGTATAATTTTAACTTCTTCAACGAACGATACTCATGACATTTTACACGTCGATAGGAGGTTGCAATAGTGACGGTATTCTGTATATACTGTACATTAACATGTTTTCAGTGTGAATGGATACATTATCGCCAGGGAAATTTTGACACTATATGTTTTATCTATGCCGGTTCCATCTCCATATTCAAATTAGTCTCTCCGCCGTTCCTATTTTATCCAAAAGTTTAGAGATTTGATCCCTAACCTGGCTAATTAGCTGCCCCCCTGCATCCTCCACCTGACTGACCACGGCCCTGAGCTGGGTATCCCATCCAACTGTTTCACGATTGTCCTCAAGGACTTTACCTGGCAGGAATCGCGGGTGCCTGACAGAGGCAGCCGAGGCAACAACATGCTCATACCCGGGCAGTGGGACGCTGAGACTATATTTCCAGGCGACATCGTTGTCAACGTAGAGTGAGTAGGTAAGGACGGAACTGGGTACAATTTCCGTCTTGCCACTGGTGGTGAGTACGGTCTCATCGCGGATGTCGATATCGATTAATCCGTACTTGGTGTTACCGGTTGGGATGTATTTGACCGTGACATCTTCATTGTCGGTTTGATGGTAGGTCCGGATGGGCAAGTAGAACATGCTGAGCGGGCCAACACTGAACTCGTGTAGGCCTTCTCCGGCGGTATCGGACAGAAGTTCGTCGGGCGTGTAGTCCAATGTTGGATCGGGGAACCGAGTCGCCCCGAACTCGTGTCTGTCTCCGCTGAGCAGGATGATGCGAATTCCTAGCTCTCGCTCGGCGCGCCACATGGCCTCAAACACCGTGCGACGCTCATTCAGAAACCCACCCCATGTGTCGGTCGTACCGACGTGCCAGTTCTTGGTAAATGGAACGCTGGAGGCGACGATCTTCCAGCGCACTTCGGCTGGTTCAGGACGAGACAGATATGCAAGCAAGGACTGCAGTTGCGCCGAGCCGAGGATGGTAGAGTCCGGTTGGGCGGGCTCGGAGCGATAGGTGCGCGTGTCCAACATAAAAAATGACGCCGGACCGTTAATGAAAGAGAAATACGTTGTATTTTCTGGCTTGGCGAAAGGAGTGGCCGGGATCGGGGGGTTCACACTGACGTGGTAATGGATATAGGGGTCAGCCGCGGCCAGATAGGGAGCTGTATTGTTGCCCTTCGACCAGTCATTCTCAATCTCATGATCGTCTAGGGTGTGTAACCACGGCAGGTCGATAGCCGGGGCATCACCATGAGAATACCACGAAGGAGACGAATACACACGACGATATTCACTGCGATAGTGTGATACAGACGAGCCAAAGCGCTGTGGAACATCGATATAGATGAAGTCACCGAGGAACAACATAAATGTCGGCCGAAGCAAGGATGGCAGTTTGCTGACGGTCTCGGTCATCTTCTCAATCCCCTCAATACGCAAAGGATGAGATAGCGGGTTGTATGGGAAGTTTGGCTTCATGCAGCTAGACGTCAGAAAGCTAAGCCGGTTGGCAGATTTCGAGCCATGAAGAGGCGCGGTGACAAAAGAGCCCGTGCGATTGTTGGACAAAGAGTACCGATAGTGCGAGGACGGTTTCAAGTTCTTTAAAGTCACCGAAGCTGTGAAATCCGTCGATTCATCAAGTGCATATATAATGCCTTCTTCCACCCATTTCAAGGGATCCTCCTGCTCCACTTCTTGGTAGAAGACCACCAGGGGTAGTTGAGCGGAGTCCGGCTCTCGAACGAGTAAATTCGCTGTAGTTGGGGAGACATAGCCAATGCGAGAGAAGGCAACATCGTTTGCAGGATAGAAAACTACCCCTCGGAGTAGAAGGTCGGAAGCGAAGAGCGTAAGGACAATGTTAACCAGCACTGTCAGCCGTGTGACCAACGGCGAGCTGGGGGATGGGAGTCCCGTTAAAAGCGTCTTGAGAGCGCTATCCTTAGCTGGAGGCTCTGCAGACCCTACATACAGCCTCCTGTGAGCAAATCTAGAGTGATTAAGCAGTACAGGATAGGGATATATATACTCGAAGTGTTCTTGGAGCGTTTCAAGTCATGGGGGCGATTGGCGGTGTTCTCATCAGCCGACCGACTGAGCGAGAACAACGAAGACAAATACACCACTAGCGAGGTGAAGATTAGAGGTGGGAAATGATGACCGGGGATCTGCACACGAATGAGCACCCGTTATTTGTAATGGAACGAATTTGAACAAACATACCCAGCGAAGGAAGATGAAGGCGGCAAGCCTGAGTATCACGGAGCTCGTGGCTGCGGCAGCTCGCGGCAAGGACACCATAGCTTCGTGAGAACGGTTCAAGCGCGCTGTGAGATTTCTAGTGTTCCTTGGGCCATAAATTATTTACTCTCCGTCAGAGCTTTAGAGCAGAACCTCAGGTGACGTTCTGGAAGATAGAGAAGTGGACCTGAGAATGAAGAAGTCGGAGTTGCGGTGGAATGAATAGTGTTGGCGGTATGACGACATTGGACGATCCACCCATGTACCTTCAAAAGTAGGTACCAAGTACGCGCATAACACACTAGTAGTAGATCGTTTCCGCAGGTAGCAGTGTAAGTAATCTACTATCATTCTACATATCTCCGGTAATGAAAGAATGCAAACGGCTGCATATAATGTGATGGACAATCGTTTGTCTATTCTATGCTCTCGGGCGTAGGTCTCTATCGTTGTTGATTCCTCATACCTCGGAGAACGTTCAAACCGCTCGCCATAGGCCTTGATAAAAAGCCATGACCAAATCCTTCATATGCATGCTCAGCGACATCTCCGCAGCCCATTGCCAGGCTTCTCGCGCTCCCCGGGCTTGGAATTGAAGTATTCCCAGCCCATAACGCCGCCAAAGTTGGGGAACTGCTCTACTAGCTGGCCCAGTATAGGCCCGATGATCTCCCGAGGAACGTAGCCCTGCGACCCATTGCCAGGATTCGTCAAGAGTCCGTACACGACGCGTTGCGGCGACCATCCTTGCGCGACGATCGCCGCATACATACGAGGATCATCCGCTGGGCCCCAGCCGTTGTAGAACTGTGTATTATACCAACTAATCTTCGATGCCCGTTGCCGCTCAAGCTCTCGGTAGTCGAACCCGGAAAGATTACCAATCCCTAGAAGCGCCGCTGCTACCGGGGCCAACGTTATAATGAAGCTGTCTCCCAGGTCCGATTTGAGTCGATCGATCAGTCTAATGATACCTGAAAGCGACATCTCTTCTTCCACGTCTAGATCCAGCCCTTCCAGTTGATGACGCCGAATCATGGCTAGGAGAGGCAGGTAGTACCGTTCGAATTTGTCCTGATCACCGTCCAGACAGCGGAAGGAACCTTGTGCTGCTCCTCCCAGCATTCCCATGACGCGCACCCCTCTCTGCTTCAGGAGAGGCACCTCTTCCCACAGCTCGTCGTACATGCTATGGTGGGGAGGATCATCGTTGAGCGTAATATGACCCGGTTCGGCATTTAGGTGAAAGGCGGCAATGATGAGGTGCGTGATACCAGTGTTGTTCTGCACCAACGGTAGCGCGGACACATATTGGCCTCGATCCGGACGGAGTGTCTGGTGATAGCATATCACCCGGCATCGGTCGACTTGCGCAGGTACGGGAGGCATCGTCTCTTAGCTTGGAATGGAGGATGGACCTAACTTGGGGTGTGCTGCACTAGTCAGGACCAAGTCCAGCATTTCGATGAGGAGCAACAGCGGGGTAGAGAGATTACAAACGGTCTCTGGGGGGCCGCAGCTTAGCCGTCAGGTTCTCTCATTGCTTCGCGACCGGTATGGACAGAAGACCAGTCCGAACGCACCTCAGGGGGTCAATGTTTGGAGAGAGAATCAGAGGACGGAAATCAGCCATGATTACAAGAACTTTAGTACCGTCTTAAATCCACTCTGGGGTTGGTCTTGGTAAGGGTGTCTCTTTACAATACGGTAATTCTGGTAAATTGTATTGATTACTCCATGCTCCGTTTGTACATACTCCGTCCGTACTCTGTACAGTACATCTAAGATCGAGCTTCACTCTACGCTAAACCTAATATGGAGCATAATAAACATGGACCTCCAGAGATGGAAGCCTGAGGAATCCGGCCCCGACCCGAGTTCCTTGTATCGCCGGTCCAGGCGCGTCCGTTACATCGACATACGTATGTACTCTATCTGGTGGTTATCGTTATCAAAGTCCACGCACGATATACATGACACAATTCACCCCATCTGCAGGACCAATAATGTCGCCCTAACCAAGTCATTTTAACTCCTAGCATTCACTTATACCCCGACCGCGACAACCCTCATCATGGACACAACCTCTCACGATACAGTGGGCGCGTCCACCCTCGCAACGCCGCTCTTCATGCCTTCCTCCCCTCCGAGCGGAAACCATAGCCCTGAGGGATCCCCTCAGCGTGCGCGAAGCCCAATTTCCCGTCGCGCCGGCGACGATATCGGCGACGCGCGCTCGCCCACCGGCTCGCCGCCATCCTCCCGCGCATCATCGCTTGATCGCGCTGCGAAGGAACTTGACGCCCGCCTGGCAGATTACACGCTTGATTTTGACCAATTCCCCAGCGGTCAGCTAGGTCTGGATGAGCGGAACGACGAACCGTTCGGGGAATCGAAGCTCCCTCATGAGGACCAATTGTCGGATGTGGGCGGACCCGAGGATTTCACGGCCAACCTAGAGAAATATCTCATGGGCGACGACGACGACACCTTTGATCATAAGGATTTAGGAGAAGTGGAGGAAGAAGAAGAACCGGCACTGGAGGAGCAGGAGCCACCGCGACCGCAGTCTCCAGAGCAAAAACAGCAGGAACAGCAGCAGAGCTCTCAACTGCA